ACCCTCTTTGTTCTCCGTGCTCGTATCTTCGGAACATGGTGAAACGGAGCAGCAAATCAATGATCAATGTAATGAGCACATCAAGGCAGCCCTTGCAAGCAGAAGCAGACCTGCAAAGAATCGGCTACCCCGGGTTTCAGGCCTACGCTAAGCTACCCCAAGCCCTAGCGCTCGACCCGTCCCTGTCCTAAACCGTAAGGGCAACCAGTCCCCGGAAGCTACCCACTGCCAACCTTGACCCTAGTTCTACACCCCAAGCCCTGTGCTGGGCCTAAAGCCCTAGAGGCCGTAAACTGCTCTGAAAGATACATGTCAATGTGAGCTCATGCATTTGCAGGGGCTGCAGCATCCGCTGTCTCTGGGGTCGGAGCTGAAGCCTCTTCAGGCTTCTCGGAGTCCTCAGATGAGATTTAGAGCGTTAGTGCGATGGTTTGAGACTAAGGTCTGCGACACCCGAATGAATTACTGGTCATAGCATTCCCGACAAGCTAATATAAAGGGAAACTCATGTCATCGGTCCCTGTGCATGCCCATCAGTTGGAAGTATGAGCTGCGCATGAAGCTCTCTAAATTGCTGTACGGCCACTCCCCAAACATCCCAAAACTGGATTGCTTGAAGACTGGGCCCGGCGCCACCTTCAACGTCACGCCGGGAAACTCACCACCTCTGAACTTCGTTTTTGCTTCTTGCTTGCGGGTCTTGTCATAATGTCACATGTCTGACGCTTCCAAGGCCTGGCATCATCTGTGTTGCGTGTTCAGGGTGTTGAGTACTCACTGACTGAGGTTTGCGTCCCTTGCATGAGCCCGCGGTATGGGAGTGTTGCTTTGATCTTCACGGTGAGGATATCAAGGATTTCGGACTGAACTCCAAGGATGAGGCCGGTAGGAGAAGCCAAAACTGCCAAACCTTCATGTAATCCCTACTCCTCCACCAGGTCCAGGATTCCAGGCTGTGAGGTGGACAGCCAACAGCGAGGGCATGGACTCTTTCCATGGAGGGCCACTGATCTTCAGATTAACTCCCAGCAACATTGAGCACACTCATTGCAGGGCTATGATATGACTGCTCTGTTAAGACGTTCTCTTCAAGGTTCGAGGCTTCCGGGCGAACAGTCTGGTTCACAAGCGGAACCGCCCTAAAGCAGCACTCTGAAGCCATGCATCCTTGACCCTGCAAGCGCTGGTGTCGCCTGGGCTCGGAGGTGCTAACTTGGCCTCCTCCGCTCCTGACAGCAGGCCGCAGCTGCGGGGACACTCGTTTGGCTTTGAGCTGAGCAACAACAACTTTTGCAGTGTGCAGAGTTTCTGCTCAGGCCGAAGAATAACTCCCAACGGATAAACCCATACTCCTTACCGGGTTGACACTGCGACATTTCACTCGGCGAGGCTTGCGCTACAAGCTCGAAGCCCTAAATCCTGCAATGGACATCAGCAGTATCTTAGTTACGATTGGAAGGGCCCGATAGGCATCAAGCGTAGGATCGCACGCCTTTGGGGTTCTCATCATCAGGTGTACTTTGAGCTATAAGATCAAGTCTTTAGGTTGAAAGCCGGTGAACCAAAGAGTGCTTGAGCTCAATCATGAACTTAGGGCCAACGTCTTAGGGGTTAACCCCTAATACTTTTAAGCTGGCCGCATCATGGAAAATAACCTCAAAGCCGCATGACGTCCTCAGCCTCAGCCCTTATATATCCTTTAATTTAATTTTCAAACCCCTAAACCCGAAATCCTCAGCAAGGGTGGGGCAATCCCTCAAGGCCGCTCGCGAGGCTCGGGAAGTCCGCTGTAGAGATGGACTGTACGCTTGGCGACACTTGGCGCTAGCCCACTCGGGCCGGCTTCCGAAATCCAGCTTGTGGCGAGAAAGGCGCCGCATAGAGACCCCTGGAAGCGAAAGTCCTGCATGTCTTTTCTTTCCCGGCAGAAATATACCCCCCCAGTGTTTTGGCACTTTCGGGGCTCTGGTAAGCCCTCGACCCCAAATCATCGTAATGCGCACAACCATCCATGAACCGACTTCTCCCTTTCCCCCTTCCTCCAACGTCTGCAGCACCCGCCGCGGCTGGAGCTGCAGCCTGTTCAACATGTGAGCTGCCATTTGTGTCCATGCACCGATGCGCATTGCTGGTATAACACAGATCGCTACATATATTCCACGTCCTTCATCTTCGCCTCGTCATGGTCGTCATCATCCAACACCAGCCCGAGCCTCTGCTTCATCTTCCGCGTGCTCTTTAACAACATCGCTACGTCATCATACGACATGCGACATGCCCCACCAGTACCACCATCGTCATCTCAACAATGATAGCATCCCCATTCATAACGTTTAATGGTCTGTGGGGTGGGGGTTGAGATGTTTGCAGCCTCAGATGGTTGATTCCTGCCTCGAATGACGGAAGCGATAGCAATAAGTGGCAAATCGCTAAAGTGCATCTGCCGACCGCAACGCATTTTGTCTGGACGCTGAGTTCACATCTGCGCTGAACTTTTGTTAAAAAGCTCCGCCGTCTATCTAGGAGATCTCCGGGCCCTCCCATTCCTGCAAGTCCAAGTAGTCCGTTGCCGGAGCCTTGAAGGCATACACATCGCCTTGGCCGCCTGGTGTAGGCAGCATTTTGGCCGTGTAGCCAAGGCTCTCAACGTACGCTTTCATCGAGGCACAGCTGTTGTCAATTTGATAATTCTGTTTCCCCTGTGCATTCGGGATGAAGCACTCGGACTTGAGGTGAGTCACCTGATCTGGCTTTGAAAGTATTGGCCGGAGGTTCTCCAGCGCTGTCATGTCCGACCCTTGCATGTCGGTCTTCAGCTTGTACACACGGTTTCCCTTGGCCAAGTAGGCGCCCAGGATGTCTGCGGCTTTCATGACCTTCACGGGGATCTTCTCAGTGACCGCGAAGTGTTCATGGCTGGTTCCTTTCGTCGTCGGGGTCAAAGACGAAGAGACGCCACCGACGTTGTATCGCAGGAACTGAGCAGTGCCCGTGTAATTGGAAACTGCACAGCACAAAACCGCCACATTCTTGTTGTCATGCA